AGGATTGTTCGTGAGTTCCAGTGATGCTGATGTCTACCTTCACAATCCCAGAGGTTCTAACAACCGCTTAAATAGAGCTGGGGCCGCTAGAGCAAATAACAATCGATTGTTCGACTCTCAGGTGAGTTTCAAATCTAAAATTATCCGAGTTTCCTCCATTCAAACTACCATGTTAACCTTTATGCAAATTTAACAGGAGAAATAAAGGAAATGAGCCCACATAGTGATCACGATATCTCCATTACCTGCACATATCGCCATGTTTCTCGTTCAACAGGGTTTGGGTTATGGAAAGGGTTGTAATAGACCTTTATAAAAAGGTTGACGTCAGCAGGCTTGTGGCGTAGTTTGGGGAGAAAATCCGGAAAGCTCAGAGTTGTTTACTTGTTTTGAGTTTTTAAAAGCCAAAAGAAGCCAGTATTATGGTGAATTTGAAGCAAATTTTTCTATATATAGGCCAAATGATTTTTCATATTCGTCGTATAAATTTTTTTTGTTTTTATATTAGATTGTACATTATTTTACTGTCATGAACATTTAGCAAAGTGGTCGCTCGGTTTTCTTTTCTTTTTCTCAACTTCATCAGTGTAAACAGCTCCGCTTTCGTTTCTGAAGATTTAAACTTTAAATCACTATACACTCCAGCCGAAATTTTAAGTTATTTTTGGTAGCTTTTTCATTATCCTTGCCAATTTTTGACCCGGGTACGTACTTTTCTGTCAACTATATCGATAAAAATAATAGACTTCTTAGTCTTAATACGAGTCATTGTGTATAAGATGTACTCAGATCTCTAAGTTCACTTATGTACCTCTTTGCATGATCACTAAGCCTGTGTATCGCTGTCTACCCGGCTTGATTGGGGCCATTCTAATGATTAGACTGATGAATTTGAGAAACAAAAAAGAAAAATTATACTTTTTAGCCGAACGAAATATATGTAAACAAACCGAGCGAACAATTTGCTAAATGTTCATGACAGTAAAATAATGTACAATCTAATATAAAAACAAATAAAATTTAAACTACGACGAATATGAAAACTCATTTGGCCTATATATAGAAAAATTTGCTTCAAACTTACCATAATACTGGCTTGTTTTGGCTTTTAAAAAACTCAAAACAAGTAAACAACTCTGAGCTTTCGGGATTTTCTCCGCAAACTACGTCACAAGCCTGCTGATGTCAACCTTTTTATAAAGGTCTATTGCGACAAGATATTTAAAGATAAATATCAGATAGTTATACATTATACTAGATATATTATACTAGAGCGATATGCGTTGAAGCCAAAGTAAAATGCATACGTTCACAGTAAGTCAAAGTTTAAAATAAGTTAATAGTTAACTAAAATAAAAAACCTCTTAACCATATCAGATTCGGGGGGGGGGGCAAAAAAAAGTTACAACACAAATTTAAAAGTTACGTTATCGTATTTTAATAGTTGCAATGATAGTAGGCACTCTTTAATAAAGAGAAACTATATTTTTTACATACTACTTTTTTATCTCAACAAAACAACTAAAACTAACAATAAGGAAAATAATTGTAATATTCTAAAAATCAGGTTTTTGCAATTAATGACGTCATAATTTCCTGCTATGACAACATCAGTATAATTATACAAGGCATTTCAATCTCCTGCAAATGTTTTGTCGGATTACACTCAATGGTTCCGGAGATATTGGCCGCAGTAGAAATAGAACCCATTCTAGAGTTCAAAGGGATGCCGCCAATGATGTCACAATAGCGTCGCGTTACCAAGTCGCGTTACTGTACGTCACATTAGATTGCGTTACATGGTTACGGTACCTGTCACAGAACTTAGTCTCGTTACCATACATAAATATATGTTACTTACCGGCTGGGAGGTCCGGATAGAAAAATGTTTTGTCGAGGTCCCAAAAACGGCCCGAAGCCGAGGGATGTTTTTGAGACCAAGACAAAAGATTTTTCTATCCGGACCGACTTAAACGGTAAATAACGTCTTTATTTTTTTGTCGTAGACTCACAGGCAAATGGCAACGGTTTTATTATTATTAAATTGCGTATATAGAAAACAAAACAATAAAAAATTTTGATATTTATTAATTATTTTACTTTAGAAAACAAACAATTCAATTAAAATACAGTACAATTATTTTATCCATCATTAAAATTATTTCAAAATTACATGCATATTCATATTTTTCAGTTTTAAAACAAACATACAAAAAATTTTTGCTTTGCTTCGGCCATTACGTATAGCATTCCGGACCGTGGCCAAATTTTGTAAAATTCCGCACACTGCTGCAGCCAATCAGATTGCAGAAAACGCTAAGATTCCGCCGGCTGCTGATTTACAAAAGTATAATTCCCGTTACCGATTTACATAGCGTTGCTTTCCAGAGCATCTTGATCAACTTCTGTTGTAGCTTGTAATGCTTTTTTCCAACAGTTTTAACGCCAACTTTGAACAAAGCAATAGCAAACCTTGCCAGTGGCGTAACTACAGTACTATGGATTCAAACCGGGCGAACCCGGGAGTCCCCGACCCCAATGGGCGAAATGGGGGCCCTAGACTCAGGCTGTACAGCAAAAACATTGGCCAGGCTTCTAATATGTTACAATGTCGTTTTCTGACCATAAGAATTCTGTAAAATCTCGCCATAAAATCCGGGAAATGGCATTTCAAAGAAATGTTCGGGTGAGCATTTCCTGGACCGCCTAGAAAACTCGTGCATATACGGCGATCGAATTGTGCCTCTGGCACTTCTACTAGGGGCGCATTCCAATATTTTGAACTAGAGGTCCCCCTGTTATAACGTTAAGCCTCTGAACTATGCAATACTCTTATAAATTTCACCGAGTCCATAACCTCTTTGAAATTGTGCACCATGCACAATACGCAATTATATTTCCACCAACTTGCTGTATCAAGTATAATGGTCTCTCAGTAGTTTTTCGTACACAAAAAGTGTGCCCTTTTGCATGTTGATGTGTTCAGTTCAACTTAACACAGTTGACTGACCAAATTCCATTTGTGAACTTATTTTCTGGTCATTAAAGTGTCTTCTATCAGTACTAATATTCATAATTTCATCGCAATGGCATTGTGGAGAGCTGGCGACCACATGCGTCTAATCTCGTTCGGACAGTCAAAAATCACAAATCATACAGTGGCGCCTTATACAATTGGGATAAAAATCTGTCCTCGTGCATACTGGGCATGTACCCAAATGGGAGATGTCTAAATCTTTGTTACAGCTGTTACAGGTTGTGTCCGCGGCTTCAGACTCATCCTCGGATTCGTCAGAATGTGTATCCATGTCCTTGTGAGCTGACATTGAAAGAACCCGTCCTTTTATACATTTAGCCTTTTATGTATTTCCAATTCTGCAAGACCTTTAATTTAAGAAAGATATTTAATCCAGCTGGTTCTGCAATTTCAGAATTATATGGTAAAACAGTATATTGCAAAATATCTGACAATGTTTGTTGCACGTATATTCTACCCTGTGTATACAATTTCTCCTTAAGCCATTCCATGTGAGAGTATCGCTGGATGTAAAAATGCAGTGAAGAAGTTCTTCAGCATTGTTTTTATCAACATTGCCGTTTAGTAAGTGTCCAAGTATATCTTCAACGCGCTAATGTCTCCTAGATATTCTTTCCTTGCTGTCCATGGTTGGGATGACGATATGAATTAATGATGATTATATGATATTTTATGTCAAGTGTATGAGTACGATTTAAAAATACTGGCGTCTATATTTTCATTTCAATTCAGCCACTTAAAAACTAGAAAATACATGCATGCAGAAACCCTCGCCTTGCTTACAAAACCATTGTATTTCCGAACATGAAGTATCTAAAGTAGTTGTCATGGTAACACGATAATTTTTAAAAATATTCTTACAAATGAAAAATCGCCTAATTAAAGCAATTATAAAATCAATATTTAATACAAACTTACCTTCGTTAACGTCGGTTCCCTTGTAGTCCCTTTTTTTAGCCGATTGTTTCGCCCTTTCTTTCTGACAACACTTTTGAAATTTACAAAGCGAGCGAAAATGAAATATATTTGCAAGAAGTTTATCAATCATCAAATCAAGAAATGTTTTCTATTTCGCTGTCGTCATGCAGCCGTTATAATGCAAACTTTAAATTGGACCAATCAATGTCCGTTATTCATGACAATCCGCCATATTTTTGAGGTCAGTGAGGATGACCACCCACCCAAAAGTGTAGCTTCAAAAGTGTAGCTTGTAGTACCTTCGCTCGGCGCTTCGCTGCGCCGGCTCCGGGATTACTTTTCCGGCTAGCTTGTGTCAAAAAGCAACAAATTTTCCACGTGCATGGAAAATGACGTCTGACTTAAACAATTACTTTACCAGCAACTGTAGGGAGCCTCCTTAATAGTCATTTTTTGGTTTTGTGTGAAAAATGGATAGAATAGCCCGGCGAGCAACAGGGCAAAAACAAAACTCTAATTATATGAAACACGGGAGGTTATACAATTTAATTAAAATCCCTGCCCTCGATCTGCATGAGTAGACGGCTTAACTCAGACGTAAGGGTGTACCGGGATGCGGTATAAACCAATGAAAACGTTAAGTACAATTTTAGAAACAGGTTTCAACACGACACGTTCAATATTGTAAACATTAACTTTATTTCAACATTAAGCTTCTTATGACATAAACCATACAACTTTAAGTTAGTTCGTAACTTTAACAAACCAATAAAGTCCAACGAAGCCGCCTGATGTTTTAATAAACCGTTAAATAAGTCGGTAAAACACTTTGCAAGTCCCTTTCACATTGTCACGTGACCGATTTTGGCGCGATCGCTCGAAACGCGCGTGTAGTCCTCGCGATTGTACTGTACTATCCTAATACACCGGAAGGGTGAGGGTCGACGCGATCGCATCGACAAATAACAAAATGTAAACTACTGTATATACTGTTAAAAGTTCGTGTCTATGTCTTGACTATGACTCCATACTGAAAGTTCCTTAACTAATCTTCCTCTTGTTTTTCTTGATCGTATTCCACCGGCACCAAAAGAGCTAAACGATGAACACTTCGAGACACAACAACTTCTTCTCTCCCTGTATACTCATGATCTCTTTCACCAACTTTGTAGTTCTTGTATTTGACCAACGCTCGGCGCACTTTTCCGTCGTTGCCAGCAACTACTTCGTTGATCATTCCTAAACGGTAATCTCCTTTTATCGGACTCTTGTCAGCTATGAGGACGATATCTCCTGGTCGGAGGTTTCGAGTGGGCTCGGTCCACTTGTATCTGGTCACTAACGCTGGCGCACACAACTCGATCCATTTGGCCCAGAATTCGCTTACGACTGCTTGTACGAAATGATAACGTTTGGCGATATGCTGTCGGGTAGGTTGCCAATTTCCAGGATTCTTCGCACAGGCGCGGCCCGACAGGAGGGTATTCGGAGTGAGAATATTCAGGTTTGAGTCTTTTACTATGAGGTTCTTCGCGTCTCGCAACAGTTGCGCTGACACTGACATTGTCTTACCACCGCTGAATGATTTATTCCGCAGGATGGCCAAGATTCTTGCAATGACACATATAACATGATTGATGTCACTGAATCTTTCGTAGTTGAGTAGAGGAGGATTGGCGGTTGCCGTTGACACACTATGGATCTTTTTCTCTCCAGGGAGGCACTCTTCCTTCTGAGAACCAAGCTTCAGACACCATTCTTCTATGGGTTGAAAAAGAATCAAAGGACCGTTCCACCATTGCGATTCTTCATTAAGCTCTTGCGGGGATCTTCCTCTTGTCAACCAATCGGCTGTGTTATTCTTGCCAGATATCCACGTCCAGCAGCTCATGTCGCCATCGGTAGCAGCTTGTATTTCTCCTAATCTGACACCTTCATACACTTTAAATCGCGTGCTTGTCTTGTTTATCATGTTGAGGACGGTCTCGGAGTCAACGATCTGTAATACTCGCTCGAACTGGAACCGCACTTCTCGTTCAATAACTTTTCTTCCTCTCTTTGATAACACCGCGGCGTTCAATTCCATTTGAGGTGTTGAAAGCTTGTTAATGGGACCGACACGACACGACACTTTGCCATGATCAATCGGCACCAGGCGTTGCCATCGGCTAGCTCCCACCGGATGTAAGCTACGAACCCATAGGCGATGTCGCTACCGTCACTAAATATGATTAACCAAGGGTTGCCCACCGCCTCGGATGGTCGAAGACATCGTTGCAAACTCAACTTTTCCAACTCGAATAGGGAAATGAAAAAACTTCAGCCACTTGGCACGAAGATCAACAGGAAGTTGGTCGTCCCATCCAAAATTACGGACCAAGTTTCTCTTAGATAAATCTTTCCGATCAGGGTGAACGGACAAACCTAACCGAGGGGGTCGTAAATTTTCATCACTTGTTGAAGGACGATTCGTTTGGTTAGGATATCAGGTAAAACTTCAGGCAGATCGTTGAGCATCAGGTTAGGTCCGGTGCGTACTCCCCGTCTCTTTTGACTGAAATTGAGAGTGACTTCATAAACGACAACATCTTCCTTTGGATTCCATCCTACACCAAGGACACGAAGGTTTGCATCAGTTCCTTTTAGCAATGGACGCGCAAGGTCCTTTGACTTGTACTCCCGAACGACGGTCTGTTGCAATTCTTCACCAGAACGAGTTTTCACTTCGCCACTAAACTGCCAACACTTGACTGTGAAACCTCCTTTGGCAAGCATGTTCTCTGCGTCATGAGCGAGTTTCATAGCCTCGGGCTTATTGGGTCGGGAGTCAATGAGGTCATCAACGTAACTGGACTTCTTTAGCATCTCAGCAGCTTCTGGGCTTTCGTCCTTAAATAAGTTCGCAGTCTTATAAACAGCTTCCGTGCTAATAGCTGGTGCTGGCGAGTCGCCCATGTTGACACGTTCCATCACATAAATATCTGGCTGACGTTCAGCGTCCATATCTATCCATAGAAACCGATGACAATGTTGCTCTAACGACTTTAGGTGGACAGAATTGAACATCTTCTTCAAATCTCCAACGAAGGCCACATACTCCTCTCTCCATCGTAGTAGAATTCCAATCAAGTTGTTGATGTAAGCGTCCGGACCTTTGGCCAGGCAGGAATTCAGGGATACTCCGTGGTGACTTTGGCTAGAGTTGAAGACAATTCGTACTGGTGTCGAATTCGAACGAGGGTTGACCACAGCCAGGTGTCCGATGTAGAATACCGGTCCTCTCCATTCTTTCAGCTCTTGTGGCGTTAACTTGCGGGCGACTTGACGATCCTCCATATCTTTCATTTGGTCTTTATACGTCTCAGCCCATTTACTGTCTCGAGATAAAGTTCGTTCGGTACTTCGCAGTGTAGCCAAGGCTGCACTGTAGTTGTCAGGAAGGCTACTTGGGTCAACTAACCAGGGGTAACCCGTTCTCCAACAATGATTCTGCTCATCGTATTCCAAGTTGTCTTGAATCATTTTCAGCTCTTGTTCCTCCTTGAAGGAATACGTATGTCCAACACTTGGACATTTGTTGCAACGGCAACCACCGCAGCGAGGAGACGTTTCAGTACCCAATTCTTCGCCTCGGATAAAATTCTCTATCTGATTGTCCGCTCCTCGGTCACCCTTGGACTTGGTGGCATTGGACATACAATGGTAAACTTCGGTGTTCTCGTTCAAACTTTCGGGCGACAATCCTTGACGAGTGAATTCAGGATGAGTTCCAAGGCTGGCAAAATACGTTTCAGCCTTGTGTCGAACGTCGTGGATTGTTCTTGCCAAGTTCGGGTCGTGGTACGTTTCTTCTCTAAGATCTGGGTGTGTTCCTTGTAGGCAAATTCCCAATTCGCCGCTCATTATGCTAAGGTTCGCGCCACACCGCGCTTCCTCATTCTTTGGGTGAAGTCCGAAGTAGTCACACCCGAGTAACACATCAATATGTTTGGACTTCCTTTGAAGGGACTCTGGGTCGTGATCGGGAAACAATTGGACCAATACATCTGGGTTAAGCTTGCTCACTGGGCCCGTTATTCTTTCCATGCCAAATGCGTTAACGGTAACCTTTCTACCGGTACGAGTTCTCACTGTGAATTGGTACTTGCGCGTGCTATAGGTTTTTTCAACGTTGCCCATAGTAGTTACGTCGAGGGTTAACTTTCGTACAACTTTGGCCCCGATCTTATCTGCTGCACGATGAGTAATGTAGCTTGAATTTGACCCTCCATCGCAGAAGACACTCACAGACTTACCGCTTTCGACTACGGTGGTTTGGTAAGTAGGGTAAAGGGCTAGGGTGTCGCTTTGAACCACATTGCTTTCTTTCCCTTCACGGTTGTCGTCCCGTACTTCCGGTTGTTCTGGTGGGATATTTGGGGGACTCTTTGTCTTGCACAGTAGTTGGTGATGTGACTTGCTTCCACAGGATGAACAGAGATCGGTCGTGGGGCAGTCTTGTCTCTTGTGGTTGCCAAAGCACTTGAAGCAGGCATTTACTTGCTTTAAAAGTTCATATCTTCCTTGTTTACCGGACACTTCCAACTTTCTGAATTCATTGCACTCACAAGTTTTGTGGTTAGTGTTGTCCTTTCTGTGCGCAGGAAAAGCACACTTGTAGAACTTCCCTCCTCGGCTGGCAGCATTGATCTGATATTGCTGTCCTTTTACTCTCGATCTCTCAAACCTCGGTAATCGTTTCTTTGCAGGTTGATTCTCAGCTAACCTGGCTACAGCTTCACGTTCACGTTCCATGAATTTCATAAAAAGTGGGAAAGGGTTTACCTTCTCAGCAGATGACATATCTTGGTACTTGCGAATCCACTCAACTCTCACATGACTTGGTAAAAATTCGCTAATATGGTCAACATCTCTCATTGTTAGAATGCTTAGATGGTTGAGTTCCTGAAGCTGACAGTAAGCAGCTTCTACTTCATCCACTAGTTCTATTAAGGCTCTGTAATCTTCACTCTCCACGTGTTTTAGCCGTTGTAAACCTGCCAGTGCCGCTTGAACACTTGCACTTGCGTCATCGTAGTGGGCCTCCAACTTTCTCCACATTGTATCATACGCTTCTGGCCTGGTTATATACACTGAACGTATTCGTTGACTGGCTTCTCCTTTGACTGACCTCTTCAGTTCATGAGCTAAAGCGGTCTTATTAGAATATACCGACTCCGCCAGTTGTTTCCATACAGCCTTAAATTCAGGCCAATCTTTTCTCAGACCACTAAACGTTGGCAAGGAAGTTTTCTTTAAACTTATGTTAGTATTGTTAACTGGTGACCCAGTTGCATAAGGTCGCTGTGACTCTTGTGGTGGCACTGCGGTTGTTGGATATGTAGGAACTGAAGAACTGTATGGTATTGTATTGTATTGTAAAACCAGGATTGGGTTAGGGGTACACCTGTTTGTAGTGGTGGGTTTAGTTTTGGTCTAGGAAAAATTGGCACACTATATGATGGATTTATTAGTCCCTGGGTGGTACCATAGACAATCAAAGGAATGGACTGGAAACGCCATATATTTAGTGTGTTACTTCCGTGATACGGTCAGCTGTACATTTTGCGGGCTCATGTACAAAGGAACAAACTATTGACGTGTTGTAGCATCGAAAAAAGAATTAAGACTGTGACCATTTTTATGCTGTCTTTATGAAAAATATGCTGGAGAATGTTGTTTTATAAAAGATCTTTTGCAGAAAAGGAAATCTAAAAATCAATTTGTTTTGTCGATATAAAGGTGACTGAAATGGATCTGCTTGTAATCTGTACAGGACAACGGGTCAACATACAAAACTGAAAATAGTTAAAATACGGATATCAGTTTTTAACAATGCGAAGATTTTGAATTTGTTTAAGAATCGTGGACTTGGAATAGAAATTGGTTTATATTTTGTTATCAATTAAAGATCATTTTGTTTTAATACCATTTCAAAGACAAGGAGCGTCGACTGAAATAGTGTTTGCCTGTTTTGATTATTGTTTATAAGTTATGTTGCGAATTAAATTTTATTTTACCGTATAGATTTCAGTTGAAGCATGGCCGCTTGCAATTAATTGCAAAACTGCTGCCTGTATAATCTACTTAGATTTTCCATGTGCATCATCGCCCTCTGTATATCAACACATCATATAAATTTACCTTTTCGATGTTTTCCTTGTTTAGTAATAATTCCTTTTTGACTTTCATTTTATTTTCACAAAATCGTTTCCTTTTCGAATAAGAATATCCTTTCCGGTAAGGCATTTATTTAATTTTGAAAGAGATTTTATTAAGCAATTTCGGCTTTGTTAAGCCCAAGAAAAGTTTGAATAATAGGTGTCAAGTTAATGTAAAAATCTTTTGAACTTTATTGGAAGTATATTAATACAGTACCCACATAAACACAAAAGGCTACATTTGTGTTGTCAAAAACAAAAACATGCAGTACGCACGCATTCAATGATGATGTTTTGGTTTGTTAGACCAAAAAAGAAGTAAAAAACGATAGTGGAACTCGTTCTTGTTCAAAATAGGTACTTTTTAAAACCTAAACTGTTTAAAACTATAGTTGCAAGGTGCGAAATATGAGGTGTATACTTCGCAAACAAATATGGTGACATTTGTGTTGTCAAAAATAGTATGCACACAGTCATTGATTATTTTTAGAATTTTAAAACCCAAAAATAAGTTTAAAAAAGCGATAGTGAAACTCATTAGTCTATTCTTGTTCAAAATATATAACTTTAAAATCCCAAACTCTTTTAAAACTATAGTTACAGGGTTCGAAGTAAGTGTATACTCGAAAAACAAAAATAGCGACATTTGTGTTTTCAAAGACAGTCCGCTCGCATTCATTGATGATTTTTGAGTTTGTTTTGCCAAAAAGAAGTTTTAAAAAGCGATAGTGGTACTCATTAGTCTATTCTTGTTCAAAATATGTAACTTTAAAATCCCAAACTCTTTTAATACTGTAGTTACAGGGTTCGGATTTAGAACAACAGAAATTGACATCTTTTTGTAGTCGCGCAAGGTGAGCTGTTAAAAAAAATATTTATTACAAAATTTGTATATCGCAGGGATTTGTGAACGTCCTAGTGGAATCAACATTACATTTGAGAATATAACTATATGCCTTAGCAGACAAGTGACAGCTTTGTCGTCAAGTTCCAGGGTTCGAAAAATAACTACTCAGGTAGAGATGTAATATACGTGCGTATTTTTTGTCAACGTTGTAAAAAACCGAAGTTATAATAATTGTTTTTAGGGAAAATTAAAAATGTAAACGTACTCACTTTGGCATATATTCTCTGCTTTTGGTCCCACCAAAAAAAATATATTTTACCTTTGCATTTGTTGAAAAAAAAGGAGTGGAAAAATGAAAAATCTACATTTTTTAAACTTTTTCATAGGCCGGTTGCCACGGTAACTGATAAATTGCTACGTGCTAGCCCGTATCACGGATGCGGCGTTCGCGTCATAGCGTTTTGCCTAGCGTTTCCAGTCCATTCCTTTGATTGTCTATGGTGGTACATACACTACCACGGTGCTGGGGGGTGATGATCATGGTGGAGCTGGCAATCTGACTGATTGGGGGGGATTGGGGGAGGCATAAAGGACAAGGTACCGCTTGGATACTGTTGCTGGGATGTCATACTCATGTCGGAGCTGGCCATCTGACTGGTTGGTGGGTTCTGGGGGAGCATAAAGGACAAGGTACTGCTGGCATACTGTTGCTGGGGTGCCATACTCATGACGGAGCTGGCTATCTGACTGGTTGGTGGGTTCTGGGGGGGTGTAAAGGACAAGGTACTGCTGGGGCACTGTTGCTGGGGTGCCATACTCATGACGGAGTTGGCTATCTGACTGGTTGGTGGGTTCTGGGGGCATAAAGGACAAGGTACTGCTGGGACACTGTTGTGGGGTTGCCATACTCATGACGGAGCTGGCTATCTGACTGGTTGATGGGTTTTGGGGATCCTCAATGGTCAAAGTACCACTAGGAGTAGGTGTGACATTCATGGTGTTAGTTTGGGTTCACAGGTGACATATCAGCCGAGAGAGAAGTAAGGAGACTATTTGGGGTACTGGGCCCAACAGGCTCTAAAGTTGAACCACCTGCTAGAGTATGAACATCACTGGTCACATTGGGTGTCAAGTTAGTCAACATACCTTCTGTGTTTTTAGGGCGCTCTTCATCATTTGGTAAGATCACAGGCACTTTCGGAGCTTGGTTCTTTTTTAAGTTCAGGTTTATCTTCCTTATTTTATTATACGCAGTCCCCATTATTGTCTCAACATCACTCGGCAAGTAGATGTCTGGCTGTATAGCAGTCAGTTTATTTATCTTGTCACACATTTCATTCAACAAATTCTCCATGTCACTCTTGTCCATTTGTAGACTTCCTGAGCTAGGGGCTTCTTGTGATAAACTGTCATCAACAGCTGAAATTATATCTTGTAATCTGTTCATGTCTCTCCTTAGAGCTGTCATTAGAGGTGCCATTGCTATACTTTGCTTGGATCTCTCATTCTCAGCCTTTATTTTAACATAAACATCTCTCGCTTCAACATATGTTTGTTTAACATTTGCATTGTAAGTTTTAATATCGTCCCCATTGACCACACGGTGTTTAACAAACTTTTGATCGGAGACTAGTAACTCATACTCATCAGTAATAATACAAAATTCATCATATACCTTTTCTAGTTCCACAATAAAACCTTTCAGTGTCTCAAAATCGACGTCTCGATGAGTTGCATCGATTAGTCTTCGAGATGTATGTGTAACCGCCATTTTAGACTTGCTACGTTCTTGTTTCTTGGCTTCAACTTCGTCCATTCTGATATTGAATTGTAGATTTGTAGTTGTTTATAGTGCGTAGTCTTCAAGCGACGTTTTATAAATTTGCCAAACAAATTCCAATGTCCCTTCTTCACAAGCACATACAACCGATCGCCAAAGCGTTCGTAAACGATTAAATCAGTGTTTTACTGTACCGGGATGCGGTATAAACCAATGAAAACGTTAAGTACAATTTTAGAAACAGGTTTCAACACGACACGTTCAATATCGTAAGCATTAACTTTATTTCAACATTAAGCTTCTTATGACATAAACCATACAACTTTAAGTTAGTTCGTAACTTTAACAAACCAATAAAGTCCAACGAAGCCGCCTGATGTTTTAATAAACCGTTAAATAAGTCGGTAAAACACTGTTTCGTATCTATCTTCGATAATGGCGGCCATCCCAGAGGAGGTTGGACAGCTAATTAGCGAGTTGTCACGTGAGCTCTCGACCAATGAGATCGCTCTATTTTCCATCGTGATGGCGAATAATTTTGGCCTTCTAATTTGCATTGGACACAGAAGAACTCAAAAAATATATATAAATATTCATATTTTTCTATCAAAATGCAACCATGGCCTTAGTATTATAAAAGGACTGGCGATATGTGCAAGAATTTCTGAGGTAAACGTTATTTTTTAACCTGTTTTCGATGATTAAAGTTGGTCATGCCTTGGCAACGTGATGACTCAAGTCCGAGTCTGTTTACAATTTTCAAACTAAAAAATCTGGAATTCCCATGGTTCGATTTTCGTAATCTTTGCAAAAAAATCAAGACAAATGTCTAAACTAAAAATCTGCTGGAGGGATCCCCGGGATCCCCCGGCAGTTTTCGAGATATTTGGCATTGAAGTGACCATACTCAATTCAACCTTTGCCAAAATGGCGTCTAATATCTGGGGAAGATATTGCGCCACCAAAGCTTGATTTTTACAATGAATTTTGAAAGTCCCCCAATATTAGGATCATTTTTCTTTACAGTAAGTGTTAAATTACTTTTGAAAGACTATTTAGAAGACTTAGGAGTTATTTGCCTGTTTTTACAGATTTTATATCTGGACTGGTATTACTAGCCTGCATGCCCATCTCCTTGACATGCATGCCTATCTCCTTGGCAAGTGAAATTGTCTGGTGGTAGAGACGATTTTAAAAGAACAGCACATTATAAAGTGATCAGATTTTCTCTCAGTGAAAAATTCTATGTTCCTTTTTAATTACAGCAGTTCAGATATCGATATAGAATTGAAAAAGGGCTTCTTCCTGAACATCCAAGGGCAGGGCCAACTGACGATGTTGAAGAATGAAGACATTTTAGCATGGATTACTAGTATAGATTATAGTATCTCTTGTCCTTTATGATGTCTTTCTGAAAGTTATTGGTGAATACAAATTGAGCTGTGATCCCTCAACGTGGCCAACAACAT